CAAATATTTGATACGAAAACCTATTAATGCTGCGGTTTGGTTGCGGATTTTGAAATTATACTTGTCGAACCTAATCGACTGCCGAGTAGATTTTATTAGTTTTAACTAACCGAAAATTTAATTAAAAATAAAGCCGGTTTCTTGAAAAACGGTCTCCTATTCGGACAGCCGTATTGTCGAACCGATTGGAGTTGGATAAGGTTCGTCGCCGTAGTCCCTCTGAAAGGCATAGGAATTCTCGTCTCCCATAAAGTTATTGCCGCGACCAATATTTTTTTTATTCTTTTGTAAACACGGCTCTATCCCACGCCGTGCCAATTTCGCAAATTCCTGTTGTATATTTTGAGTTTATTTGAGTCGAGTTCCATTGAATTGCGCGAGAAATTGGTCGTTAGTTTTTCTTGTACCGCGTCCCCCATAGACTATAAGCGTGTTTTATTCAAATCCACGCGCATTCCACACCAAGCCGAGATACAATCGGTATTCATCGGGATCCTCTTTTATACTTATCCGTGTACAAAGAGTCGTACCCCTTTTTTTCCCTCCGTCTCCGTCCGATCAGTTATTTTCGTAGTCTTCGTCGTCGTCGTCAGCGGTCCGTCTGTCTGCGTATGAATACTTTTATACGCATCTGTACATTGTTGTTTGTGCTTTTATAAAACAACCCGACCACAAACACGAGCACTCAGTACAGTTTTGGTCGCTGCATTGTTCCATTATAGACGATCGTCTTCCGGAGCCGGTTCTGGAAAATTCGCACGCCGGAAGGTGTCATTGCGCACATTGGCAATGGTCGTGTGCTATCGGTCTAGGTCTCTGCTGCACACCTCTGGACCTCTCGGTCAACGGATAGTGAAATAAAACTGGATTTATTTTCGAAAAAACTAGTAGAGGCCTACGGTTTATTCCTTATTATGTTTTGTACGTACTAGGCTGTACTTACACTGCGCACACGCACATAAGAGGCGACCTACGAAACAGCCCATGTTCGTTCACTATACGCCCATACGAACTGGAATGTAAATTTAAACCTCATAAGGGGTAGGCTGAAGACTTTTTTGATTTTTCCTACTGATTTGTGCGCTTTTTCCGTCCTTACGTTGAGCTACCGTTTCTCGTTGTCGTGTATAACATCACAATCCCATTTTTTTGTATAAACGTCATCAATTAGCTATCGTTGGAGAGGTGTAAAAAATCAACTTTTGTTATTTGATACCAGTTAAGACATTTAACAACCGTTTTTAATGGATTTGAACAATGAATTAAAAATTTACCGTTGCTCATATCCCATAAACATTTAATGATATCGTCCCATAATACATTACAGCAATGATCAAAAACCCACAGACTTAAACTGTTTGTTTATTTCGACTAGTACAAACTTCCTCGTTTATGTGTCTATAGACAATACGTAACTATTATTTTGATTCTCAAATCATATAATTTCAAATAATCTCAACCTCTGGTCGACAATTATTGTTATCCAGATGGATTTTTTTCTGTACAAACATAAAACACCTTAGTATCTAAAAATATCGTTATGATTTTTTTATTTTTATCGAAGCCCACGCATTCGCAACGTCTGCAGTCAATCACTTATACATTCATGAATTCTTAAAGTAATACATGATTTTTTGATCGCATGTTTATACAAATAAAAGCAATAAAATGTTGCAACGTGGATCGTTCGTGAAGCCGATAAGTGATTTTGCGGAATTACAATTTTGAAAAATATATTTTTACACAATTACGATCATTATTATGCGGTAAATCATAAAGTAAAATCGACTATAATTGCAGTCTGTATGAAAAATGTGACAATGCAGTTTTATTTTCAAGTATTACCGACCGTATAAAAATCGTATTATTAGATTTCAAAATAAGGCTACTGTACAATCTGTGGATAATTCGCAATTGCATCAATATAACAATCGGTTTCTCTTAAAGGGGTCTTACGAGTTTTAATCTGTTGTTTTCGCGAGTCCTGAGCATTTTTTAAATTTATTTACAAAGTAGAGAATTAATATAATTCCAATTAACTCTAAATAAATAACTGGTTTATTCGTAGAATTCAATGAAAATCTTCTTGTCGAAAAATAGTTAACTCATCTAAAAGAAGTGACTATTCCCGTGTAGGTTTCAAAGGCACATTTGCTCCTATATGTTTATCGAGGGCGGGGCCGGTGAGTAGAGGAGGAGATTCGACAAAGCTGATTAAATGTAGAATGTGAAGACTAAATAATTCGTCACAAAAAATATCAACAAGAATATTTACTTAATTTAAATTGGCAAATTGTAAATTTATTTATCGTAGAAAGTAATAACACGAATGCATATTAATCTGATTACGGGCTAAAAAATTGACTCGTTCTTTAATTAAAAACGTTTTCGATTTTGTAATCCCTCCCACCGACCACCCCCGGCCGTGTAAAGCCCACGTAACGATAATGTACTCCAACATCGTGGACGCTTTGCTGTCCATCGCTGAACACCGGATGTGCGGGTGTCACCGCCGTCGTAGACGCCTACCGTCACCGAGAATCACGGGACGCGTCCGGTTCACGGGCGGCGTCGGTCCAATTAAACCGTTCACGCCGATTACTCGGCCCCCTGTGAAATCGTTTGTCACGCGCACCACAATAGCCGTCGCGAGCGTAACCTCATCTTGTGCACATCCGTCACGATCGCGGCACTCGACCGGATCGGAGTTGAGGAATACAAAACTACGTTATGTTTTCCTACGTAAGTAAACCTTGAATGTTTCTCTAGCGTCGTTTCCGATGGTGAACTCGATGGGTTTTTTTTCTCCTCCACACGCCCAAAAGAATTATATTATTCTCCTTGATCTGCGTGGCGTTTTAAACTCCCCGCGGTGGAATGTGTTAATCTATTGCGGCGGCCGCATAATTTAAAAGGTGTCGGCAGCAGCATCGCCGTGGCCGCAGCCGACGCGGCGGCCCTGTCGGTAAAAACGGTTCCACATTCTTCTCATTGTCGTCTGCGCTCGTCGGCTGGCTGCACAAACACGTGTATACACATATATCGAGGGTGGTGGCCATAAACCAAAGCGATGGTGGCGTACGTATTATATTATACAATTACTGTTGTTGTTGTTGTTGCTGCTGCTGCTGTCGGCCGGCATTCCGCGGTCCGAAATATTCCAAGAGGGGCCTTTGTCATTGTGGAATTTGTCAATAGGACCTCCGTGCGCAAGACGTTCGTAGTGACCGCTTTGGCCTTTGACTGCCACTTCACCTGTGGTCGCGCACACGGTATTCCATGGAAAACAGGTGCACCCTATGTAAATGACCAAAGACCGGAAAGACTCGGCGGGTCGTTTGTTTAGCTGTGCTACAGTTTTTTATTGCCTAAACGCGGTAGCTACGAAACGACGTATTCAAAACGAGCTTTCAGTTTTACTTCTTGTGTCAAACACTGTGCTATAACAACCAGCCGAATACACAAAAGATTTGTTCGCCATATTGCGTCTTTGCCGATGGTTTTGGCAATGTTTTCGGTCGAGTTGGGTTTAATACACAGTACATTGTTTCTCTAAATAACTCGAGACAGGAAATAAACCATAATTGATTAATTGGTGAAATAAAGAAAAACATATGTAAAAATATGTTCGTTTGTCTACGAAAAAAAATCTCGCTATATACAATAATTATTATTTTACATAAATAGCGGCCAACAATATTCTTAGCTCTGGGTGACGGCCAGATAAAATGTAAGAAAGACCAAAACGAAAAATGTGTTAATTATTTAAATGCGTTAAACGAGGAAAACCTTGTACTTGTAGTAAAATAATCGGCCACGTCGAGGTTAATCTGCTAACGGGTGTCGCGTTAAAAAACCTCGACGATTTTACGGTAAATCATCGAAATTAACCGATCAGTCGATTGTTCTGTAATAATGAAAATTTTTTACGAGGTTTTTTATTTACTACCAGAATAAAAATAGAACAGTATGGGCTCGGCTGCAGTGCCGAATAGGTGATTATTAGCGGATTCGATTATTATGGAGAATAATGATCGCACACTGTTTATATTCATACGACAAAAAGCCATTTTAGTTGTATTCATTATTCAAACGATCCGTTGTCGGAATTCATCAAGCGCAATAATTAGCTTACAAAAGCGTACGCGTTAGGAGTTCACTAGACACGCAAAAAAATACGATAAAACATCGCTAAGATAACCGAATATCGATTTAATAAATGACGAGGCGATGCGCCTAAAACGCTTACAATCGTCGGGGAACGTTCCAAAGCCGATTCCGGTAATATATTACGTACTAGTTGTCAGGAAATTCACAACGGCACCATGTTTTATTGCCTCCTCAACGTTTGTTTATTAAAATAATGTATTTTCCAGTATAGCTATTCAAGTGTGGACACAACAGCTTTATGGGTGTTCGGTCGGACGTTCTCCGGTCGAGATGGTTCTTTCGATAGTGGTGTCGCGTTTCAATAAAAAAAACCAAAAATAATAAACTGTAAAAAAAAATCACCGGCCAGGAGGGAGTGGGAGACAAACCACACGGCATAATAATAATATTCTGTGGGCATGCCGTGGCGATCGGGAGGTCCGAAGCCAATCTTTTGTCGGCTCCGAGATTTCCCAAAACCATTTTGGTCTTTAGATGATTGACGTCGAATCCGACGGAACGAATTACTGTTACGGATCGTCGAGCTGCCGCGCCGAGGTGTTAATGTGCCGGCAAAGAATCCGGTCCGATTCGTCCCCAATGGTTTTTTTCTTTATGTCGTCGTTATTAAAATATTACTATTTTGTTTTTGTCAAATAAATGGAAAAACGGTTTAAACCACTGACTCGCGCGCCTCCGTGTCGATGTGTTGGGTTTTTTAACAAAACAAACGCATTGCAAAGACAATGCAGACAAAATAATATATTTATAAACGTTGGCCGTCAACGCAATCGCCAGGCGGCAACCGCGAAATCGTTAAATTGTAATCGTTGGTTTGGTTTTGGTTACAGATGACTGTGAAATGGTGGCCCGTGTTGGTCGCGTTGGCGTGTTGCTTCATCCACCGCACCGTTCATGCCGCCGCATCCGTCCGGCTCATGGACCTGCGGCCGGTGCCATCCAACGACCCGGCTGTGCCCGATCTCGTTGAAATGCCCAATCCGGCGCTGGACCCCAGGCCGTCCGATCTAAACGTTACCGTTTTGCTGGCAAAGTTGGGTGCCAAGTTCGATCCAAACTACATGAGCTACGACATGCCGGAACATTTGGTCCCCGTGGCCGACATTCCTTTCAGGTTAGTAGTAACGACTGAACAATTGTTTTTGATTTTTTACACCGCAATTGTATTATTGTTTTCCATTCGACCGGTCGCATAAGTAATTTTATTTTATTCGTGTGTATCAGACGAAATCGTCGAGGACGGTTGGTGCCCACCGGAAAAATGCCAACGGAAATCCGAGACTTGGACACCAAGTACTTCTCGCTGCCCAACGGCCGGCGGCTGAGAACAAAGATATCCAGTCAGCTGCGCCGGAAAATTCAACAGTACCTATGGGGACGAACCATGTGCCCCGTTCAACAGCGATGGAAGGACCTGGGACAGCGGTTCTGGCCGCGGTGGTTGTTGGAGGGTCACTGTCCCAGAGGCGAGACGTCGTGCTCGGTGCCGTCGGGTATGTACTGTCGAGCTACCAGTAACCGGTACAAGACACTGTTGCGGTGGCACTGCCGAAGCGCCGGGCCGTCGGCCATGCTGCAGCAGTTCAACACGTTGCCGGGCACCAAGAGTTCTGGTGTCGTCAATCCCATGAAGGTGTGCCAGTGGATCAAAGTGGAGTATCCCGTGGTTACCGAATGCGGGTGCGGTTGTGCCGACAACTCTGAATAGTCACCCGGGGAAAACAACTTGTTCTTTTTACGCGCCTTCCCCGATACGATTTCATACAAGTCAAACGACATGTTGCACACTACTAGTCTTAATATTATGTTCGAACACATTATTATTTTTATTGTATTATTATTATTTTTTACTTTGACCAATTAGACACGTTAGGACTTCACGCGAATATTTTAATGTCGGCTCTCCGAGTAAAAAACGACTCGTTAATCGTGTGGCAAGTAGGAGGTGAAATATATCGCGTATGGCACACACATTAATTTCGATAGACAGTCTGAAACCGCTTATCCATTTAAACATCTCTGGTGTGTGTATTTTTTATGAATATTTCTGGAAACCAAATAATAGACCGATTTTCTTTGTTATTTAACCGATTGTTTATGATTATGATTGTCTACTGCAGAATCATTCACAATGAATTTTCTGTAGGTCAATTTTTCGCCGGAGTGTAACGATGATTCGGAAACGTACTGTAAAAATTCCAACAGTGTGTTTTTTTTTCTATTCATCGTCTATATTATAATTGGTGTTCTCTATTGTTTCCATTCGAAATACTTATATAGTATTTGTTTGTGTATCTATTGAAAGACCTATTTGGATTTATTATTATTATTGACAATATTGTAATTAAGTTTTTTCGATGTAAATATTACAATTATCATATAATTTATCATATTTTTATATAAAAAAAACTTTTTACGCCCCAGTAGATTTATATATAATTTATTTTTTGTACATTTTTTTCCACTATGTACATAATAGAACGTTATATAGGTATATATAAACAAATTTTATACACAAATATGATCAATAAAAAAATATGATGATTTGTTTATTAATTTGGTTTATTTGATAACACATTTTTTATCCACCGACATTTTTCCCACATTAGTTATGGCACCCGTTTTTAGACTGCTTATTGTACGATTTTTAACGGGAAGAAAATCTCTTTTCGAAAATCCAAACCGCGTAGGCGCGACACAATGTCTTCAACTCGCCGAATTGTCGTTGATTTTTGTTTAATTGGTAAAAATAATGACGAAATTACCTAAGCGTAGAGATTACTGTACACAAACTGTTGGTAAAGATAAATTGGAGTGTTTCTTGCGTTCGTGGCGACGACCTCGCAATGTTTGCAGTCAGCGATTCGTTTGTGAACACTCAAAACGCATGTGCTGACGTTCGTAAAAAGAAAAAAAAACGTCTTTTTCGTTCATTTTGTTTTCAAAAGCCCCCAGGACCCAACCGATTAACGATACCGAACTATCGTATTTTCATATGGTGAAAAAAGAAAAAAAAACGCCGTACGCTCAACATGCACGACACCCACACACTCGGACGCCCTCTCGTTCAACCCGGACGCGGATGTTTTAATAGTTATTTATTGTAATAGGTGAAAAAAGCGTGGGCCAGGGCTGGGATTCTAGATTATTTTAATTAATATAATTTATACATAATACGTACGCGTAGAGTTTATACGATAAGCATATAAATACACTACTGGAAACGCGGTGGTCTTTTTTAGAAACAAATCAGTAGATAACGTCGCGCCGGCCGTTCAAAACGGTTAAAAAAACAAATGAATTATAGTTTTAATAATAACGAATAAAAAAGAAAAACACTGTGGAACGCATCGGCGGCAGAGAGTGTGTAATGCGCACTGTTGTTTTATGTGAAATATTAATCACACGTCCTCTTACAATAACGATAATAATTAATGTGACGTTTCCAATAAACGATTTTGTAAATCGAAAAAAAGACATATTGATATGTTATTTTAGTGTCCAATTAATAAGACGGTCGCGTCTCAATGGCGCCCGAGTGTACAATTATACACACTGTACTACTACAATACGTCGTATGAATATTTTATCACACACAAGACACATGGTCATGTCAAAAAACAAAACGCATAAAACACTTGTGTGTGCGTTTTGTTATTTTTCGTGTGTACTTCCGGAAGCTGTTGTTAAATCGCTTATACGAATTAGGTGGCCGATTTTAATTGGTCAACAATTTTTGAAAATAATTGCCACGATTTATTTTCAGATCATGTCCCCCCACTCTTTGAAACACAAGGGACCCTATGTGAGTAATCCGATCAAAATGGTAAGTAAACGTAATGAAACTATACGAGTGGTTAGATACACTTTTGAAACAACGGTAACGTTTGAAAATGGATAAAAAATGTTCACCTTAAAAACAACTAGTTGCTGAAAATGTTTTTTTTTTTTCAAGTTATTATTGTTGTTTTTTTCGACCTTTTACATTCGACTGTCTTAAATTAGTAACCAAACACAGAGGCGACCTTAGAAAAATATCCCAGCGGGTATGAAGTTTACTGACGACAGTTTAGGTCATGACATTCCCCCCCAGGGACGTATTTATGGGGAACACTAAAGAAGCTCCAACTGTCCTGAAATTCACGCAACAACCTAATTCTTTCTGAAAATTGTACTTTTGCGAGGATAATGAGCATATAAAATTCGTCAATAATAATTTTAAAAACTTATTTAGCCCCTCGAAAAAAATTTTAGACACGTGCCTGCTATGACCCCTTAATTATAGCATGACATTAATCTCTTCACAATCTTAAAACCTATGTGGACACCCTAATTCTTGTAGCTAAACTAAAAACTTATGTGTAATTAATAAGGAAAAACGTATTTTGTTTAAACGGATAAAATGTAAAAATATGAATCTTCGCAATTTAAACCGTAAAAAGTAAATCTTTATTAANGGATAAAAAATGTTCACCTTAAAATAAACTAGTTGCTGAAAATTTTTTTTTTTTCAAGTTATTATTGTTGTTTTTATCGACCTTTTATATTCAACTGTCTTAAATTAGTAACCAAACACAGAGGCGACCTTAGAAAAATATCCCAACGGGTATGAAGTTTACTGACGACAGCTTAGGTCATGACATTCCCCCCCAGGGACGTATTTATGGGGAAGACTAAAGAAGCTCCAACTGTCCTGAATTTCACGCAACAACCTAATTCTTTCTGAAAATTGTACTTTTGCGAGGATAATGAGCATATAAAATTCGTCAATAATAATTTAAAAAACTTCTTTAGCCCCTCGAGAAAAATTTTAGACACGTGCCTGCTATGACCCCTTAATTATAGCAAGACATTAATCTCTTCGCAATTTTAAAACCTATCTGGACACCCCTCATTCTTGTAGCTAAACTAAAAACTTATGTGTAATTAATAGAGAAAAACGTATTTTGTTTAAACGGATAAAATGTAAAAATATGAATCTTCGCAATTTAAACCGTAAAAAGTAAATCTTTATTAAGAAAACAACGAGTTTTGAAAGTAAAAATAAAATAGAGTACTTTTGAAAAATTTTATCTGTTTTTATATCACGTTTNCATCAGTTTTTATATCACGTTTAATTTGAAATTAAATTTGAAAAATTTTGTTCTACGAACTATCAATATGTTATTGTGTTTCCTACAGAAAAATAGCCATTTTAAGTATCGACACTTAGAATGTACTTAAATCTACAAACTGTACATAAATATTGTTGTAAAAATAATTATTTACGACATTAAATTGAAAATATTTTTACTTTTATGCATTTATTGTTCATAAAACCATGATGATGAGTTACAAAATCCTAAAAAAAGAAATATCAATTAAATTTAATTAATGTTTTATTATCATAAGTTCTTTCACTTAATGTTCATCCGTGTCCTTCACTGGACTCCATTCTTCTATTTTTTATTCATACCACATTAATAATATTTCCATTAAACAGTCCAATGAAACTGTCCGTGACTTGGGTTTTGTGCACCAAAGATCTTTCTCCGACAGAGCACACATCAAATAAATGTTATGTCTCTTACACTTGTCGGATTGATAAGTCGCACATTTCATACTTATAAATCATTGAAACCCCTAAATTGTGCTCTCGTACCTGCCCACCTCGAATACGATTGTGTTTTTTCGGATCCTATGACTGCAGACGTTANCACTTGTCGGATTGATAAGTCGCACATTTCATACTTATAAATCATTGAAACCCCTAAATTGTGCTCTCGTACCTGCCCACCTCGAATACGATTGTGTTATTTCGGATCCTATGACTGCAGACGTTAGTTTTACCATAGAAAAAGTTCAAAGAAAATTTATTGGTCTCTGCTCTACGAGACACAAACTTTTCTCGCTTTCCTCGCGTTTTAAACATTGCGTTTGTTAAAAGCGTTTAGAATTCTAAACATTTCAAAATTTGTAGTTGTATTTAAGTTTAAATAGTTTTTTTAATAGTTTTAACAATCCTACAATACTAACCAGTTATTATGATTTTTCAAAAAATACATTTTTAGACTAATTTATATTGTATTATCCAGTAATGGGAAACATCGAATAGTAACTATCGAACTATTCCATAGTCATTCAAAAAATATTCGATAGTCTATTCGAATAGTTTTTAAATGCTAAAAATAAGCTATTCGGTTGTATAAAAACAATTCGAATAGTTCTTCGATAGTTTAAACTATTTGAAATTTTTACTATTATTAATTGTATAATAATTTCATTTAAGTATTCGTTAATTATCTTTTTATTATAATTAAGTGTACTTAATAAAAATTTTAGGTAGAACTAATCAAATATTTTTTAAAACCATTAGGTAGTCTATTCGAATAGTTTTAAAAACAATTCGAATACATATTCAATAGTTTAAAATATTCGAAAATGTCCATCACTAGTATTATCGTTACATTACTNCCCCACCTCGAATACGATTGTGTTTTTTCGGATCCTATGACTGCAGACGTTATTTTTACAATAGAAAGAGTTCAAAGAAAATTTATTGGTCTCTGCTCTACGAGACACAAACTTTTCTCGCTTTCCTCGCGTTTTAAACATTGCGTATGTTAAAAGCGTTTAGAATTCTAAAAATTTCAAAATTTGTAGTTGTATTTAAGTTTAAATAGTTTTTTTAACAATCCTACAATACTAACCAGTTGTTATGATTTTTCAAAAAATACATTTTTAGACTAATTTATATTGTATTATCCAGTAATGGGAAATATCGAATAGTAACTATCGAACTATTCCATAGTCATTCAAAAAATATTCGATAGTCTATTCGAATAGTTTTTAAATACTAAAAATAAGCTATTCGGTTGTATAAAAACAATTCGAATAGTTATTCGATAGTTTAAAATATTTGAAAATGCCCATCACTAATTTTTACTATTATTAATTGTATAATAATTTAATTTAAGTATTCGTTAATTATCTTTTTATTATAATTAAGTGTACTTAATAAAAATTTTAGGTAGAATTAATCAAATATTTTTTAAAACCATTCGGTAGTCTATTCGAATAGTTTTTAAATACTAAAAATAAGCTATTCGGTTGTATAAAAACAATTCGAATAGTTATTCAATAGTTTAAAATATTCGAAAATGTCCATCACTAGTATTATCTTTTCATTACTAATTGACAAATATTTCATAAAACCGAAAATGATAAAACAGATCGAAGGCCAAATTCTGGAAAACCAGAAAAATCTCTGAATGCACTAAAATATTGTAAACCATAAAGTGGTTTAGACACCTTACAGTGTATACTTATATAGGTTTTTTACCATAAAAATATGGTCATTATGAAAATATTTTATAACAAATAAAAGCAATTACCTTTTTTTTTTTAGAAAAACGATTTGCAAACTTTTCGAATTATTACACACGGGAAGTACTTTAAAACGAAACTTTATACAATCAGTAAAATATATCTCCTGATAAATGTTCAGTGTATGCAACTCTTCAGAAT